TCACTGTCCAGCTTTCGCATCCATATGAGGCTATTGAAAACACAATGGCCTGGGTCAGGCGCACCCTAGTCCTCAAGCTGACATCTCTGCTCTTCAATTTAGATGTAGTGTTGGTCAATAATGCAAAGCTTGGAATCATATAGCATACTTTATTCCTATTGTCTTCTAAACCACTGATATTAGGGGTACAACATAAGCTATTAGCAAACTTGATTATGAATCAACTGATCATGGTTGCTCTTCTGAAGGGCTGCAGTTTTGTGCTTATGCTTTAATTTTTATTTAGAAATAGAGGACTACTCATTTATCTGATTAGAACAGGATACAGACATTGTTTTCAGAGGAATCTAGAAATAATTTGCTTGATCTAGTCACATCTTTAGGATAGATACTAAATAATGTTTTAATGGAGTAATGTGAGTTAACTTATATGAAAACAAAGACAATATTAAGAATAAGAAAACAAAATATGATTCTCACCTAATTTAGGAAGTGCATACTCCATACCAAAGTAATCTTCAAAATAATCAAACACGCTTTTAGTTATGTTTGAAGCATATAAAGCTGTTTCCTTTTGCTCTGGCTGAACATAAATTGTGAGCTATTAAAAAAACAACAACACACACACACACAAAAAAAACTTCAGTGAAAAGAATTTTTCATTTTATAAAACAAAAACTATGATAAGTGAATAGTAGAAAGATAGTGGACTCTGGAGTCAGATAAACATAATTTTAATTTCAAATCCACCTCAGACTAAGTACATGGTCTTTGAAAAAGTCACTTTGCATCTTTGAAAATCATGTGTAAAAGGGCAATAATATTGCATCCCTCACTGAGTTATACTAATAGCTAGAAATAACATAAAACATAATAGCTGATTCAATGTCCTCCACATTTAAAACTGGTATTCTTTTCTATTGAGAGGGTAGATAAGTGTCTTCTTAAGATCTGTCTGCTTATTATCCTATCTAATCAATTCATCTATCAATTAATTCTTCTTTGTTCTTGAATCCATCCATCCAATGAATTATCTATGTTTCTGTGTAATTTGTCTTTGACTAAATGAACTCATGTGACTTTTCTTATCTTAATAATGTTTGCATACATGTTTCCCACTTGTGCTATTTTATTTAGTGCTTCCCAATTACCCACCAATCATCTGTCAGTTTGTCGTACTGTGGTAGTTTGTGTGTTGCCATGATGCTGTAAGTGTACCATCAGTATTTTAAATGCTAGCAGGGCCACCCATGATGGACAGGTTTCAGTAGAACTTCAGATGGTCAGATTAAGACAAACTAGGTAAAAGGAGAAAGGAGCTCTGGTAGCATAGTGGTTATGAATCAGGCTGCGAACTGCAAGGTCAGCAGTTCAAAACTACCAGATGTTTCACGGGAGAAAGATGAGGCTTTTTGCTCCCGTAAAGATTTACAGCCTTGGAAACCCTGTTCAGGGTTGCTATGAGTCAGAACCAACTCCACCACATATAACAAGAACAAGAAGGTAGAAGGAGAAGCAGACCACTTCTAAATGGTTAGTCACTGAACACTTTGTGTATAGCAGCAGTACACTGATATTGCGTCAGTAGATGAGGGCCTCAAGTTAGAAGGCACTAAAAATATGACTGGTGAAGAGCTGCCTCCTGAAAGTAGAGTTGACTTGAATAATATGAATGGAGCAAAGATTTCAGGGCCTTCCTTTGCTGATGGGGCACATCTTAAAATGAGAAGAAAAGCTGAAAACATCCATTAATAATTGGGATGTAGAAATCTAGGAAAATTAGAAGTCATCAAAAATGAAATGGAACACATAAAGATTGACATCCTAGGAATTAGTGAGCTGCAATTGACTGGTATTGGTCATTTTGAATTGTACAGTCATATGACTTACTATTCCAGGAATGACAAATTCAAGAGGAACGCATCACATTCATTGTCAGAATGATCATTTCAAAATCTATTTTGAAGTGCAATGCTGTCTGTGATAAAATAATGCCCATATGCCTACAAGGAAAATCAGTCAATACCACCACAAAAAAGTGAAGTGCCAACCATCCATTCCTCCCACAATACTCTCCACTACTCAGTTGGGTTTGATAATCTGTTGCAATGTCTATACAGAACTGAGAGACAATACTCACGGGTATAGGGTAAATTAGGGAAGTTAACAGGTTATTATAGAGGATTAGAAAATGTTCAGAGTACAGTTGTCCTGATCAGCTACTAATAAATGCTCATAGGATGTACCAGTCATCATAAGCCTCAACATGAAAACACTGGGCTGTAGCTCCATGAGTGACAAACCTAGCTCCTCTACTTAAGTACCTGGAAGCAAGCCAATCCACAAAAAGCTTCCTGACTAAAGTCATGCAATTTTACTTGCTACACTCTGTCTTGTACCCTTTTTCTTGATTCTGCTGCCACTACTACTTTGGCATGACTCCAATATCACATCTTTCTGTCCCTGGGTACAGGAGTTTCAATGCACAGGCATCACAGGGTAAAAAGGACATGTTCCTCTTCTGAGTTTTCTCTTCTGGTAGTGAGATCCCCCCTCCTGTTTCAGAGATGGTTCATTTTATTCTTATGCTAGAGTTTCAAATATTTAAAATTACAATTAACTATGCTAACATCCTAAACTATGCTAAAAAATGAAATGGAACACATAAAGATAGATATCCTAGGCATTAGTGAGCTGAAATGGATTGTTATTGGCTATTTTAAATATGACAATAACATGGTTTACTATGCTTGGAAAATTGAAGTGGAATGACACCACATTCATCATAAAAAAAGATCATTTCAACATCTATCTTGAAGTATAATGCTGTCTGTGATGAAATAATACCCATACATCTACAAGGAAGACCAGTTAATACCAGTATAATTCAAATTTATGCATCAATCACTCAAGCCAGTAATAATGAACTTGATGAATTCTACCAATGTTTTCAGTTTGAAATTGATCAAACATGCAGTCAAGATGTATTGATTATTACTGGTGACTGAAATGCAAAAGTTGGAAACAAAAAAGGAGGATCAATCGTTGGAAAATATGGCCTTGCTGAAAAAAATAATTCTGAAGATCTCATGGTGGAATTTGCAAGATCACTGACTACTTCATTGCAAATACTTTTTTTTAAAACAACATAAAAAATGATTATACACATGGATTTCACCAGATGGAATACACAGAAATGAAACTGACTACATCTGTGGAAAGAGAAGCTAGAAAAGTTTCACTTAATCAGTAAAAGAAAAAATGAATAAATAAAGTGTGGATCAGAGCATGCAATTTCAGGCTGAAGCTGAAGAAAATTAAAACAAGTCCATCACAGAGAAAACATGACCTTGAATGTATCCCATCTGAAGCTAGAGATCATCTCCTGTACAGGTTTGACACATTAAACACTAATGACTGAAAGCCAGAAGAGTTGTGAGATGGCATCAAAAACATCATACAGAATGAAAGCAAAAGGTCATTAAGAAGACAAGAAAGAATGAAAAAGCAAAAATGGATGTCAGAAGAGACTCACAAATGTGCTCTCCCGCATAGAGATGCTAAAACAAATGGGAGAAATGAGGAGGTAAAAGAGCTAAACAGAACATTTCAGAAGGTAGCCCAAAAAGACAATATATAATATATAGTGAAACATTATAATGAAATGTGCAATGATCTGGAGTTATAAAAACAAAAGGGGAGAACACACTTAGCATTTTTTAAGTTGAAAGAACTGAAGAAAAAAAATCAGGCTTCAACTTCCAATATCGAAAGATTTTATGGGCAAAATATTAAATGATACAGAAAGCATCAAAACATAATTGAAAGGCATACACAGAGTTACTGTACCAAAAATAAGTAGTTGATGTTTATTTCAAGAGATAGTATGTGATCAACAGCCAATGATATTGAAGAAAAAGTCCAAGGTATACTGATGGCACTGACAAAGAACAAGACTCAGATATTGATGGACTACAAACTGAAACCTTTCAATAAACTGATGCAGCAATGGAGGCAATCATTCATCTATTCTACGAAATTTGGAAGAATGCTACGTGGCCACCTGATTGGAAGAGTTCCATATTAGCACCCATTCCAGAGACTGGTGAGAAATGTAATGTGGAAATCATTGGACAATATCATCAATATCACATGGAAATAATTTTTTTTTCTAAAGATAATTTAAAAATGACTATAACAGTACATTGACAGGGAATTGACAGAGGTTCAAGCTAGGTTCAGCCGAGGACATAGAGCGAGGGATATCATTACTGTGTAACATGGACCTTGATTGAAAGCAGAAAGATGTTACCTGTTCTTTATTGATTATACAAAGGCTTACAACTATGTGGATCATGATAAACTACAGACAACATTATGAAGTATGAGTATTCTGGAACACTTACTTGTGCTCATTAGGAACTTGCCTCTGTTTGAGGCAGTTGCTCAAACAGAACAAGGTAACACTGAATGGTTTAAAATTAGGAAAGGTGTGCACCACGGTTGTATTCTTTTACCATCCTTATTCAATCTGTGTGCTGAGAAAATAATTTGAGACCTGGATTATACGTAAAATGTGGATTGGAGGAATTAACAACCTGCGATATGCAGATGATACACCCTTGTTTGCAGAACATGAAGAGGGCTTAAAATACTTACTGATAAAGATCAAAGACCACAGTATGTGTTCAGTATGGGTTGCACTTCAATGTAAAGAAACAAAAAATTCTTGCCACTAGACCAATAAATAACATCATGATAAATGGAGAAAAGATTGAAGTTGTCAAAGCCTTAATTTTGCTTTGGACCACAATCAACAATTACGAAGTCAGTAAGTCAAACGGCATAGTTCAGTAGGCAAATCAGGTGCACAAGATCTCTTTAAATTGTTCAAGTGTTCAGTTTGAACTGCAAGGTCAGCAGTTCACACTCACCAGCCACTCTGGAAACCCTATACAGGGTCGCTATGAGTCAGAAATGACTCAATAGTACTTAACTATACTTATGTAGAATATTGGAGTACCTGGGTGGTGCAAAAGTGCAATACACTCTGCTTTTAACTGAAAAGTTGGAAGTTCAAGTCTACCCAGAGGATCTTAGGCCTGCTGATCTATTTTGGAAATAGAGGGTGTCATTGAACACCCTCTGAAGAGAAGATACATAAATCGGAGCCAGCTCTATGGTAGTTGGTAAATTTAGAACTTAAGAGTCTGAAGGAGATTGAAATATAAATTTTCTCACTGTAAACATGACATAAATGAGGCTTATTATCACAGCTGGAGTCCTGGTGTGACACTGTAGGATAAGTACTGGACCACAAGGTTGGTTTCAACAACCAAGTCAGTGGTTCAAAGTCACCAGCTGATTTTCAGAAACCCTATACAAGGTTGCTATGAGTAGGAACCAACTCAACGACACTTAATAACAACAATATCACAACTAGAGTCCTGATGTTGCACTGTAGGATAAGCACTGGACTGTAAGGTCAGTTTGAAATGAAAGGTCAACAGTTCAGTCTCCAGCCAATCTTTGGAACCCCTACACAGATTCTCTAAGAGTTGGACTCACCTCATTGGCACTTTAAGAAAAGTATCACAACAG